GCCACACCTCCTCTCTTGATATCCAAGTAAATGGTTCGTGTGGTTCACATACTTTCTCGATGCATTCACTCTTAATCGAGATCGCGTTCTTTAAGTTTGGACTATTTGAGGTTCGCGGGTGATGTTGTGTGTTCAATATTTCACTTTTCCTGGTTTAACTCCCAATCGTCTTGACGTGAACTGTGAAACGGTCACCGGGAAAGTTTAAAGAGGGATTCCTTTTTATAGGTTCGGGAAATGCAACAGTAGGACGCTACGGGGCGTACGCGGCTGCCCACACCCTCTAAATGGCTTGATGCTTGAGCCTGCAGACAGTGTCTGCTTTTGAATCCGAGCAGCCAATTCAGAAGGGCTCATAAAAGCTCTATAATAGCGATACTAACCCAGTTTTTGGCTCCGTGACATGTTTGAGTACATGGTTTTCCAATTGAACAGCAAATCGGAAACTCTCGTCACACATTTCACAGCAGTGTAGTGGTTGCTCCTAAAAATTGGTTAGCTAAATTTATTTCATTTTCAATGGGACATTCATGAAATAAGTTTTCATAATGAAATATTGATTGTGGCATGGATTTCAAATTTCGGTTTTTGGTTGATAGATACACTTAAAAATATGAGCTTCCATGGTTCGAGAACTGCCTTTTGGTTGTGCCATGCATTCGGTTTCCATTGCTTTGAATGTATTTCGCCCACGTAATGACTTGAAGATACCAGTAATTCACCCTTGCCCTGCCGAAATATTTGTGGGCCCAGAAATTGGAAGAGAAACCGCGTGAACATAGAACTGTTCTGGAAGAAAGACTCTAGGGGAAAATGTACGCCTGTCCCTAAAGGGAACGATCTAGCGGAACGTGTGACTAGAACATGACACTTTCAGCCACTGCGCTATTACAACTGTTCTATTTTGAATGATAAAGCTTGCCAAGCGATTAATGCTTTTCCATTTGTTTTTTTTTTGGTATTTTTTTATTTTTCTTTTTTATTATTTTCATAAACATGAACAAATTATATATTGACTATTTATTACTGTGGTCATGGAATTCATACCATCATGATTTTCGTTTATTTTTTTATTTTTATTTTTATAACTACTTTCAAGCCACGCCCACCTCATTGTGTTCCTCCGCCACGTGGGTAAGCAAGTGCTGTGCCAAGGCGAAGGGCCGTAAACAATGCGGACAGCACCGGCGATTATCGTGCTCCATCAAATGTACGTTTAATTGGAATTGATTCACTAGTACCTAAAAAGTAAAGTTATGGTCTCCAATGACGTCATCTAACGCAAGTTTCCACTAATCAATAAGATCTGTGAATCCATACCTTCCCGCAAATACCGCAAGTTTTGTTCACCATCTTCGGTATCCGATCGTTTGTGCATGTGAAATTGACAATGAAGTACAAGCTGAGTTTCGCTGCGTATTGATTGCCTTAAAGGAACCCATAAATATTCAAAGGACTCTTTTCAGCATTTTGTATGGATCATACCTGCAAACAGCACAGTGCATATAGAGATCAGTGGTATGCATTCTGGTGTGCTTTTCGAAATCTTCCGGGGTTTTCAGAGGGGCTTGGCAAGCGGCGCAGGCATCCGCTCGAGGCACCTGAAAACGTTCTCATCAAATAGGTATCCAAATCATCACTGGATGTATGTATGTCGCGGCAATGTTCGTACGCAGAGAACATCATTCTGTAGCGTGGTTTTCCATGAAGCTAAGGAAGGTAGCGGCTGTGCCTTGGAAGAGTTGGAATACTGTACCAGCCAGAAGAACTTCTTAAAAGTAATTTGGACATCTTGCGCGAAGAACGGAGCGACAGTGAGAGAGATGCGTATCGGATAGTAGGACCTAAAAAGGCAAGCAGCGGTATAGGCCCTGCCTCAAGTGTTTTGCTCCCCTTGGATAAGGTGCATGTACGCGCATTGGCAAGGGGTTGCACACTTTCGCAGCATCGAAACCGTCCAAGGCACTTGAACGCTAAGCAACTTTGATCGAATCCCTTCAAAACTTAACAGGGTCCTGCCCACCGTTCGATATCTTATCTAGCGTCGCAATGTTGATCTGCTATGCTCTCTTTACTCGGACTTCTCTCTACCTCTTCGCCGACTAACATTATCTCCCATCTCCGTGCCTGGCTCTTTTACCTTAGTCTCCTCCGCTGCCCAGAGCAGAAGGCTCGCTCTCCAGTGCTTTTCACATTTTCCTTTCTTTCTTGCAGTCCACCCACCGTCCTACCATATTCGACTAGGATACTACATCATTCAATCCTGTGCCTTTAAATCAAAGTCCTGATAAAGAAACGAATAAGACGCATAATCTTGGGGAAACGCTAAGGTAGGGTGAGGCTGCCAAATAAAGTAAACGGATGGATGATTGTAGAAAGATTTCAGCTCTTGTCTGAACATGGTCAATGGTTGAATGTTAGTCAGCCATATGACCACCTGATATGCCTTCTACTCTCCGAAATCTCACACATTCATTTTTCACTTAAAGACAGTGATCACAACGAACGTGAGGCGGTACGCTTCAGAGGACGTCATTAAACGCCATTGCACTGACTAGATCCCTTAGCCGCTAGGCATACCCTTGAGACCTTCCAACAATGACGTCCAATGGCATCATACAAACCGCAGCGCTCTCTAGCCATCCCGATCATTGCTTTGATTGCCAAAAAAATTTTTTTCACAACTCACCCAACCTGTCTAATCAATAGTAAGTGATCAGTTTGAATAACTATGGCGAAATGAACTAACCTTGCAGTGACTGAAAAGCCTATGCTCGTCTAATGCATCTTCACCATAGCATTTCTCATCGCACACCGAACAATGCAGAATTCGAATCTGAACCAGTGAATTGAATGACGAGCATAAGTGTAAAGAAAAGCCTTCCTTGGGGTTGTTTGGCGCAATGGTTAAAGGAGATGTCGCTGGCACGTCGCTCGCTAATACAAAACTTCAATCCTTGCCTTGAAATTGTCTAACTACTGATCTCTTAAGGGTCATATTGTTGCGACGACATAGGCGAAGGTATAGCACGCTTTCCAAAATTGGAAACGAAGCGTGTCTGATCTGACAATAAAGTAGTGAACAGAAGAACTGCCGTGAAAAAGACCACTTCTGAAAAGTGTGCATCGGCTGGCTCAAGTGCCGCCACGATTTTGAATGGATGTAGAACTCGTGGCGCATTCAGAAAAGAGATTGGTATGATCTATCCTTCGCACTTTACCCGACGAACAACCAAGCAGAACTTTTGTACGCTAGTTCTAGCCATTTTGAAGAATGCGTTGGGATCAAGGTCCCTTTGAGCTATGTATTCGGATGGGCGGGGTCGCATTTGCGATTTTGGAGGACGGAGGAGTGAGTCGTGGGTTTGAATAAGGCTGACCATCTCAGGAAAAAAAATGCGAACGGATGGGGTTGGCCCTGATTGGGATCAACCATCCCACCTCATCACCTTGTTCATTTGTTTATGAAAAAATCTCCCCATGAAACTTTCGCTCGCATCATTGGTCGATTCGGGGATGGCAAAAATAACTTCTATGTTACTGTAATTTCTAATAGTTGGTAGAGCAATTAGTAGCAGCTAGTGATTAGCACGATAATCGTTGAGCAGTGCAATCACTGCTGAAGTGATAATACGCCGCTAAATGCACTCGGTAATGATACAAAAAGGTAATTAGCACTATTGTCACTATGTACTCACTGTCTGATGATCATTAGGACCTAGTGAAATGCAATATGAACAGCAAAAAAAGCCTTTCTATGATTTGCCTATTATTTGATTTGCTTATTGTTTATAGTTCCTTTATATTTACTTATCAATCCTATCTTTATCCGTTCCATCACATTTTTTTTGACTTTATCATTTTTATTTTACCATTATTCATTAGTATATACGTATTAGGTTGAGCAATAAACTATCCGCCGCTTTTTTTTTTTCAGGCTCATGGTTCTTTGATTTTTGCTGATTATTTTCGAAGGTTATAATCTGTAGTCTGAGGGCGCGCAATCTCTTATAGATTTTGCTGTACAACACTTGTGTATTCACTTCACTATTTGAGCTTACAGGGTGGTGTAGTGGCAAGTGGCACGCTTACCACGCGAGCGGTCCGGGGATCAAATCCTGGGTCGTGAGTCGCCCGGGCCAACCAAGCCTTCCATCCCTCCGGGGTCGGTTAATTGGTACCAGACTTGTCTGGGAGGATAAAAACACTGACTTGTACATCGGCTGGCCCCCGCAAGTCATTGTATAGGCCACATCGCATTCAAAACGCCACTACGAATGTACAAATGGAAGTAGAATGCGTGCCGCATCCCAAAAGGGATTGATCAACGGCAAATGCTTTATCCTTTATCCTTTTAATTGCATAGAACACTAGCCAAAAAGATGCCGCCACCTGAGGGTGCTAGTTGTGCTCGATACGAATGCTTCTGCATCTGCTTCTACAATCCATAAAGCCTGGGATGAAGCCGGTTGCAGAGGGAACTGTTCGAGAACGGTTGTGGTCATTTATGTACTTGTTGTTGTTTTCTTTTGATTTTGTTAAAAACTTATGAGTGAAGTGAAAACGGCGAATAATTCTGCCTCAACCGAATACTGAATGCCTAGAATTTCAAATCAAGGTAAACTGCAAATTTTGAAGGGATAATAAAGGATAAAGCATTTGCCGTTGATCAATCCCTTTTTGGGATGCGGCACGCATTCTACTTCCATTTGTACATTCGTAGTGGCGTTTGAATGCGATGTGGCCTATACAATGACTTGCGGGGCCAGCCGATCAAGTCAGTGTTTTCCTCCCAGACAAGTCTGGTACCAATTAACCGACCCCGGAGGGATGGAAGGCTTGGTTGGCCCGGGCGACTCACGACCCAGGATTTGATCCCCGGACCGCTCGCGTGGTAAGCGCGCCACTTGTCACTACACCACTTCCTGCCTGAGTCCAATTTAAGCCATACATAGATTTCAAAGCCTAGCGGATCGAATCACTTAGTGTAATTTTGCTCGAAAATTAGACAAGAAGTGCGATGAGAGTGAGGGGGGAGAACAAGCAAGAAACAAAATAGAAAACGCTGGAATTCCCACAGTGAAGTTGGCTGTCGTTATATGGAGAGACATAGGCTCGTGGAGAGCGTAAAAGCGCGAAGAGAGTCCGTCGTAATCCCGAGGGAGCGCAAACACCACCTGTGCCGTTTAATGACAAGAATGGCAGCGGTCGCAGCGGTCAAGCAGTCGCACATTTTCAAGCTGCGACACTACCACCTTATGCGACTGAGGATGCTGCTTTCTCTCTCGCGTATGCGAGAGAGCGCAAACACCACAGGTGCCGCGATTGAAAGAACGGTAGTGTTACCAGCGTCAAATGAATGGTCATAGCGCCTTGAATGCGCACTTTTGAGTCTCCTAACGATATCTCTGCTCTATCCTTGGCTTTCGCGATTTCAAGAAAACTGGCTCTAATAGAGACTACTCTCTATGATCTGAGATTATTTTGGTGTGATTGTATTTTATTATCATGGTCGATTCCTTACTTATTGGTGTCTTTTTAGTGTACTTTGTACCGTGATTCATTCTGTAACTTGAAGAAATTATTATCTGCTGGCTGATCAGTATTGTGGAATGTATACATATAGCTTGCTCCGCCCATTATCCACTGAATATAAGCCCGACAGATTTCCATAGATTCAGTCGTTTTTCCTTCTTCTTTAGGTATTGTATATAATGTAAAATATGTAATAAAAGTTTAATTACCCAAGTTTGAGGTACCTACCAACCCAAGACCCGCGTGGCAACAAAGAGCGACCCCGACGGCTTATGGTGCATCGGCGACTCTAAGGACCAGGACCGAGGACGAAACCAAGGATCTGGACTAGACTGAGGATCGAAGCAAGGATATCCGCTGTCGAGGACGAAGACGTGGAGCTCCGAACGCCAGTCTCATCGGATACGAGGAAGAGAAACAGCTGAAAGTGAGTCCGAGAGCTCCATCAAACGCACGAGGTCCCGTCTCTGCTCAACACGTCCTTGTCGTTCGCACTACTGAACAAAATTTTGCACTACTAACATGGCGATCGCTCTAACAACGCGCCAGGCAGTGCTAACACGTGCAGTCAACCGACTAACAGCTAACTTGAAGAAATGCGAAGACTTGGAAAAAATGGTTCTGGAATTCCCACTAGAGGACGATAGGAGAAGGGTGTATGTGGCAACCAAACGAACGGAGCTGTGCAAGTGGAAGTCAATTCTGGAGGTGGAAGTTTCCAATGTCGCACGTGCGCTGGACCATTACAGTTCTGCTGCTGATGGGCTGGATCCGCAAACCCCGTCACTGGACGATATACTCCAGAAGGTAAACGCCAACGTAGAGACCACGGCGCAGCATATGGACACGGCGTATTCGACATTGACGACTATTGAAATGTTCCTCAAAGAACTCGACAATGACGCGAAGAAGCACATGGACACGGTTTCCAACAGATCTCCTGATGTTCCACCAATGAACCTGGCACCTATTCCTATTCCGAAGTTCAGCGGACGCGTTTGGGAATGGGATACATTCTGGGGGGCCTTCGAACATTCCGTGCACTCACGCCAGATGGACGATCTGTACAAACTCAATTATCTCTTGGATGCGCTCCAAGGGGAAGCGAGGGAAACAGTGAAACAGTACCAAATCTCGAGAGAAACGTATCCGCTTGTCGTTGAACATCTGAAACGAAGGTACGGTGACACCCAAGTGCTGGTCGATCAGATGATACAGAGGCTGCAAAGTCTACGAGCACTGAGCGACCGCCTAGAAGACCAGGAGAAGCTGTGTGAGCAGCTATCTTCAATTGTTGCTCAGCTTCGTTTGAAAGGAGAAAACGTGGACAATATTTTCCTACAGAAGCAGCTTCTCGGAAAATTCACAGAGGACGTACAACGACAGGTTCTACGAAAGAAGGAGCAGGATTCACCAGAAAGCAGTTGGGACACTATCACACTGTTAACCGCTGCAAAGAGCTATATTACGATGGAACTCAAGATTGTCAATCGGACCAGCAAAAAGAAGGAACACCATCCTCCCACAACACAGTCCTTCAAGGAAAAAATGAGCTCTTGCAAGGAAAGTCAAAGGACGACAGAGTGGCGCAGTTGTTTTTACTGCGGAAGGCGAGATCATACTCCGAGGAACTGTGATTATGTCCGAACAAGAGAAGCCCGGCTAGATGTAATTCGGAAAAAGAAGCTATGCCATAACTGTGGCGCGAAAGAACATATGGTCAGTCAGTGTACGGGAGGACCTTGTCGACTGTGTAAGCAGCACGGACATCACACGTCTGTATGTCGTCAGCTCTTTTCTCCACCAACAAAGCCATCGGCCGCACAAGATGTCAAAACAGTGCCTCAGCCTCAAACTCAGAGTAAAACCACTCCGAAACGCTCGAAGACTTCGATATCGACCAAGGTAAACACCACTCTGTCAGATCAAGGTCAAGTCCAGGATGCAGTTCCAAACACGGCTGTGTATGTAAATCATCACCGTAACGGAACTAACGTTCACATCCTTGTGGGACAAGCACAAGTTCTGAATCCGAGGAATCAAGCACTGGAAGTCGTCCACGTCATGCTTGATACTGGAGCCGATCGCTCATTCATATGTACTCAGTTAGCCGATCACCTTGGACTGCGTGATATCAAGTCAGTGGAGCTGAACATTAGCACCTTCGGCTCGCAGCAGCCACTGAAGAGAACATGTGGAGTAACGGAACTCCAAATGTGGGACGCCCATGGCAAAGCTCACAGAGTCACGGTGACTAAAATTGACACCGTCACCGAACCAATACTGCGAAGCAATCTCAGCCAAGAGGACAAACAGTTCCTCTACGACCACAACATGTCGTTGTCGATCAATTCGAATGTAACGGACCTTCATCCACAAGTACTGCTTGGATGTGCCGATCTATATTCATTCCTAGATAAGGGACTAACGGCTGAGACGTCTCTTCCTTCAGGTCTTAAACTCATCCCCTCCAAGTTGGGATATCTCGTGTCAGGAAGAGTTTCCGATCGGGATGATGCCTTCACAGAAGAACCCCAAGAAGTGGTGGAATTCGGAAGCAACTCAAACGAATCCGAAGAGGAACCGCAATCGTGGGCAGACTTCTGTATATTTGAGTCATCAGGCGTTCACGAGTTCGTCGGACCAAGTGCCCAAGAACGCAAACGCGTAGAAGCGGAAGTGTGGGAAAGGTTTCAACGAACGATTGAGAAGAAAGCAGATGGATATTACGTAAGACTTCCATGGAAAGATAACGCGACTGAGCTGCCTAACAACAAGGTGATCGCCGTACGGAGATTGGAAGCAGCCATCGCTAAGCTCGTCAATGACCCTACGACCCTTCAACAGTATCATGAGACTATCATGAATCAGAGGGAAAAAGGCATCATCGAAGAAGTTGATGAGAACACACCGAACAGTGGAG